CCCGACCGGCCGGGGGCCCGCGGGCAGCGCCCGCGCTGAGGCGAGGCTGCCTCGCTCGGGAGGGATTTATGACTTTATTTATTTATTGCTTTTTTCGCGGGGGAGGTGGGGGTATGATGTCTGCGACAGCGAAGCGCGGCGCCCGCCGACCTCATGGAGGGCCCCCGTGTGCGGGATGGAGGCGACGCGTCCCTGCCCTCAAACGAGCAAAATGCCCCCCGCTGCGGGGTTGTTTATCCCTGGAATCTCCCCGAGCCGCAGGGTAACGCGCGCAGCTCCTGGGAAATCCGGGGGTTCCCGACTTCTGCGTTTCTGCAAACTAATCTAACCCCAAATCTTCGGCGTTAATCCTCATAGCAGGATGCCCTGAGCAATATTAGCCCGGAGAAATTTGCCCAAATAGCGTGTGTTTTGTGACCTGCTGTGTCGGGATGTGCCTGTAGGACAGATGAGGAGCTGGAGGGGTGTGCAGGGCTGCCTGGGTCTGGGTGACTGTGAGGAAAATCGTTTTCTTTGCAAATGGAGTACATTTTGCACAGAGTCAGTGAGAACCTGTAAATGGGAAGGTGCTGGTGCCAAATTGCAGCTTGTGCTTTATAGACGCTTCATACTGGGTCGACTCGCGTGAGCGTGGGGAGAAGCCGGTTAGTAGCTCAGCAACCCGAAGCGGAGCCCCTTGCCGAAGCGTTTCCAAAGCCCGGGCGTTGCGAGCTGCGGAACGGAGCGGAGCGGGTTAGTGATGAAGAAATAAAAACTCTCACTTCCTGTGAGTCACTAAGGGAAGTGAAGATCTAGAAATATCTGTGCAGAACAGCCTCGCCGGCAGCCCACGGAGGGCCTTCCCCAACTCCTCTTCCTCGTCAAGAAGACACTTTGGAGCCTGTTCTTGCGCTGGGAGAATAGAAGAGTCGGGCGGCGCGGTCCGTGATCCACAGCGGTCTCCTTTCTCCTGAAATTCCTCACAAACATTAGAAGTGTCCAGCTCTGTGGGAGAGCTGGGACCTGCACAGAGCTTCCGTAGGTCACCTAGTGTTACTCCGACACGGAGTTTAGGAGCTGGCCCGCTGGAGGGGCACAGGGTGGACAGTCTTTTTGAGACGCTGGCGGACAACAGCAGGAAGAGTGGGAGGCACGTGGACCTCCGGGAAGTCATGAGTTCTGCCCTGCTGTGGGTCATGCTGATAAGAGGAGACTTGACCAATTCTGAGGGGATTTTCATCGAGGGCTATTCAGTGCAAAAGCGCTGGCTCGGGAAACTTCTCTGCTGCAGGTTGTTCAAAACCAGAAGGTTATTTTGGGAAAATAATACTGCGTGGGTATTATTAGCTTCCCTAGGCATTTGTCCTTTTGAGGCAGAAGTTGTCCTCCCCTCAGAAGGGGAAAAATGGAAAGAAAATGCAAGGTTGGATGCACTCTTGTGCATGGTGTTTCCGGATCCCGGAGGCATCTTCATGTGCTCTGTTAGGACTCCTAGAGCAGGCTTCAGCTCACAGGTTAAAGCACCAGGTTTTAGGTTTCTGCACACAGATGTCTGCGTATTATCACACGTGGCACTTCCACTGCTGCAGATCTGGGATCTGGGATTCAGCCAGCCCAGAGGCACTGTAAGGTGTTGGAGAGGCCTCAGGATATCCCGTGTGGCTCCCAAAGGGGCTTGTAGATCCAGGAGCATATTCTAGATGTCTCGGATGCTCTGGGATATCTCAGATGACAGTGGATGCCTTCGTGTTGGCAGATGAGCCAACCAAATGGGTACATGCAGGTAGGATAGGACAACTTTGTGAGACTTTCTTGCTACCTTGCTGTGTTGGTTGTGGTCCTCTCATGGGCCTTCAGAGCTGTCTTTGACTCTTGTTTGCTAGTTAGCCTGTGCGCTCTGTTGTTTCATGCCAAGGTCTTATTCATGCCGAATTACTAAGTGCCTTTCATCGCTTTGCCAATTTAAAGTGTTTCTGATGATGATTTTAAAGACACTGGCTTACAGGACATGAAGTATTCACTCCTTGTGAGGCAGCTGGCAGAGAGGGGACACAAATTTGTGCTGCAGTGAGGAAGCCTTTGGGATCTGAAGCATCTGGTCAGTGAGGATCGCAGCGGATTTGACTCTCTGCTAAATAACCCACACTGGGAAAGATGACAGGAGAGAGAGGGAGTTTCTTGGCCATGGGAAGGGCTTTGATCAGAGACGTTACTTCCCACAGCTGCAGTAGCAAAATCTGTAGCTGTTTCAGCCTGACCCCAGAGTGACTGGTACTCAATTTATTCATATATTGAATCTAATTGGGAAGACACTACGGAGTTTTGTTTCTTTTTTCAAATCTACTTTTGCTTTCAAGTTCTTACGCAGATGGCAGAATGGCAGAGGCTGCAGCATTTTCTCTTATTTCTCCATAGCTTTTACACTTAGCTTTATAGTTCAGTTTTAAACATGCTTCTGTTCGCAATAGATCTGTGTCCATCACTGTCTTCTCATGGGAAGTTCACAGCAGCAAACACGACAGGTCTTCTTGCCCTCGAAGGTGTTTTTCCACTTTGCTTGATTGCTAAAAGAGGATCTCCACTTCGGCTGGACAATATAAGGGCTATATCAGGGGCCATACAGAGTTTTGCACAGCCCTCCTGATAGCATCAGTGCATGCAGGACTCCACTTGTTGTCACCTCTAAAACCATCTTAAAAAAACAGAGTGGCATCATCTAATGTGTGTGTACACTTACTGCTGAGAAAAGATATGAAGACTTTTAATTAAGAATCACCCCCCAAGTCATTTGATATTTTCAAAATACTTCAAAATGCCCAACAGTGACAACAGGAAGTAGAGGTATTAAGGCCTGTTGTATCCACAGTGTGTGTTGTATATGGGTTCTGGGAGTATGGACAATAGATCCATAAACAGGTACTTGAAAGAACAGAGAGGTCCCCCCTACCATCCCTGATCCCCAAAGTAGCTCTTCCCATTTTTAAAGAATTTAAGCAGTGTAAAACTGTTATCACAGGAGCTTTTGGGGTTGGATTTGTGTTTCTGCAGAGGAGGATTGTAAGAAATACTTGCAAAGGAAGAAGCAGGAGGCCAACCAGCCACTGCAGGTCCCAGCAGTAGACAGCAGCGTGCCGAAGACATCGGAACTGGTGGGCATCACGACCAGGGATGATCCTCATGGTGAGTGACACAGTAGCTTCATGATTCCTCACCTTGGGATTGCTCTTGACTGCAGCAGATCCCTGTGAGAAGGGCTGAAACCTGTTTACTACCTGTGATTTTTTTTCATAAGCCAAGTCAGAATGATTTAACTGATAGTCGGGGGGCATTTTTGCTTGTCCAGTTGCCCAGTTTCATGGGGCAGAGAGGAAGTGCAACCCTGGGGGACGCTGTGCCCAGAAACAGCCTGGTAAAGAGTGCAGCAACTGCCCATGGGAGGAGACTTTCCAAAACACCTTCCCTATCACAGCCTGGCTCGGACCAAGGGACAAGTGCAGGTTGCTGAAAATGCACTAGGTTGGAGTAAAGGGGGAAGGACCCCAGGCAAATTGCCTTGGCTGCACTCCCAGTCTTCAACACATGCAACTGTCCTGCGGGGAAAAAAAAAAAAAAAAAGCAAGGCTTGAAATTCTGCTGGGTGCATTTAATGTGCAAGGGGCCACGATTATAATCTTACAACTTTCAAAGTTCAGGGCCCACCTCGTACAGCAGTAGATAGGGATGGATGTCAGGACATTGCTGAATGAGGGCCTGTAGGAAACTTCTGGTCAGGAAGTGTGAACTTCCAAGACCTGAGGTAGAGAACCAGAGCCTTAATGATACCTAAATATGTAACTTCCAGTGAAATCCCATGGCAGAAGGCTCTGGGTTGCATCCTCTGGGCTACTCTGCTTCCTCCAGCTCTTCCGTACTCCCTCTCACCTTCATCTCTGCAAGCTTTGTGTCTGTATCAGAGCTACCCTTGCCCAGACTCTGCCAATATGTGGGTTGTGCTGGTGCCCTGGGCTGCCAAGCCAAGTGGTCAAGGCACAGACATATCCTCTCTCCTGCCTGGTCCATTAGGGAGATAGCTGGTCTGGTAAAATGTTAAATTATCTGAGCAAGTTTTGCCAGTTTGGCTGTTAAAGCTCCCAGTTCAAAGTCAAGGGCTGCAGAGCTCCCTTGACTCTACAGGAGTTTTTTATTTTCAGTAGAAGGTGGTAACTAAAGTTGTTAATGTTTCAGGAAGCGGAACAGAGATGTTTGATGCCTTCATCTGTTACTGTCAGAAGGACCTTCAGTTTGTCCAGGAGATGATCAGAGAGCTGGAACAAACAGAGTTCAAACTGAAGCTCTGTGTGTTTGACCGGGACGTCTTGCCAGGAACGTGTGTGTGGTCCATCACTGGAGAACTTATAGAAAGGAGGTGAGTGACCCGAGGCTGCCCGGGACAGCTCGGTGTGACGGGACGTTGTGTCCGCTCCTTCTGCTGTGATGTCTGCAGTGTGGGGCCAGCGAAGCAGGAAAACCCACGGGGATGTCTTTGTGGGGTTGTTTTCTGCTGTCAGCTCAAGGAGGAGGATTCAGGCGTTCCCAAACATGTAGCTTCATAGAATTCCCAAGGAGGGAGCTATTAGAGTGCCGCTGTTTCTGCTTGACCCCTTTTCTTTGGCCAGAATATCTGCAATCACATCTTTGAAAGAGATCTGGAAACGAGTACAGCCCCAAGCTGAGTTAGCTCCACCAGCAACGTGGAGTTTGAAGCAACAGTGCTGGCATTGGCTCTGGCTTGAGGGATCCTTAAATCCCTGTGGTACTCGAGCACAGATGGGACCTCAAGTCCCACATAAAGATGACTCCCCAGATACAGTTGCCTAGAGAAAGTGCTTTATAGTGTCAGCAGGAGAGGTAATGGCCTTTGGAGCTCTTTTGTCCCCCCAGTCCTGCTAAATTAGGATGAGTGAAAATCTAAACGATTTTAACATCAGCCTTTCATAAGGAGGTAGCTTGGCATTTAGCAGAGGCCTTAACAAGGCCTCACTATGCTGGCTTTGTACAGTGTAGCCTTCCCTAATGAATCTAATGTGTAGTTCACAGCAAGGTGAATTCACAGTAATATTGGTACAATAAGCCTCTGTCCAGATAATTTTAATATTAAAAAAAAAAAGGATGCTCAGTCAATAGGGGAGATTGTGAACAGATAATTAAAGATGGCCCTTTTTTTGTCACGTGTAGGCCAAGGATCAGCTCGAGCACACACAAGCTGGATTTTGTTATTTATTTGTGCTAGTATTTGAGTGTGCAGCTGTAATCAGGTTTCTGTGTGCAATGTAGCTGTCTGTCAGTAAACCTTACTGTGCAGTTTATTCCTGGTGGAACACACAGAACAATTCTGAACAATATGTATCCTTACTAATGAGGATGTGACACATCTCCGTTAATTTTTTTCTCTTTCCATTTTCTGACTGCTTTAACCTAGGTGTCGGAGGATGGTGGTCGTCATTTCAGATGATTACCTGGAAAGTGATGAGTGTGATTTCCAGACCAAATTTGCTCTTAGTCTTTCCCCAGGTAAGATCTCACAAATGCTCCATTTAAAAAGTCTTATCAGTGCTGTTGTTTGTATTACAGTAATAGCTATTGCAGTTAATGAGCGTTCACCCCTTCACTCATCCTTGAGTATTGTGGATAGGCCAATAAAGTCTTGAGAGAATTTTAAGCTTGGAAAAACCTACCCTATATTGTTCTGAACTGAGGAACCCTTGATTTTTTTCTGCCAAATCAGATGGCTTTGCTGTAACCACTG